ACATCTCTGTCTTTGCTTTGAAAACATGGAGGTGAGATTGCAGAGGGATAGAAAGTACTTGGGTAACTTGTGGCAGCACAGTCCCAACATCCAAAAAATTAATTAGGCAAGGGAAGAAGAGCTGAAAAAGAAGCAGCAGCTCTGAGGAAGAGGTTGTTATCCCTGAGGGGAGCTTTGTGAAAGCTGCAGGCTGATACTGAAGGTATAGTGGGGAAGCTTTCCAGACAGGCTCTCCCAGTACATAGTTCATGCAGGTGAGCAGAGTTACAAAACCCCAAAACCTTGAGATCTGAAGAGATCTTGAGTAATTTGGGGAAGGCCTTTACCAAAGATGTTGCCCTTCCATATGTCTGGTTGCCCTAGCAGAAGGAGTGGGCAGCATGCAGAAGGGACAGCAGTGAGATGAGATAGGGTCCTCCCTGTTTGTCCTGCTTCCTACCCTTCTTTCCTAAAGATCCATTACCAGAAGCTCCTGTCAGTGATATAACTCCTGTGGTCAGGTCCAGGATGGCAGTTCCCATCTCCTTATTCTCTGCCTCCTTCTCACCTGCCTGTTTCCACCATTTCACGTGCAGTGTCCAGGGGTAGAGCCTTGTTTCTCATCCCAGAAAGCATCAGCACAAGCTCTCAACTCCCTCTGACCAAGTGCAGAAAGAAATAGGACCTTGTTCTTGTAGGATTCCCTGCATGCTCTCTGGGAGTCAGGTCTAATTTCTCTTGGAGACTCCAGATGTTGCTCCTTTACCCTCACTAATTAAGTCACACAGCATCCAGGGCTGTATCAAGCTGAGGATTAAGGGTCCTCCTTTCTCCTTAATTACGAACAAAAACTAAATGAAATATGTAGTGTAATGTGTGCAGCTTGAGAGCCTGTGTTCAACAAAGGGGCTGTTCTGAAACCTGAAATAGCTTGTTTTGCTTCAAGTGGAGTTATTTTACTTTTCCCATTTCCTAAAGCTTAAGACAATTAGGCTTTGGTCTGGTAACGTGTCTCCTGTGGGTTGATGTTACTGGGAAAAACTTATTGGTCCTTTCTTTTCTGTTGGGAATGATTTTTTGTGTGGTTTGGATTAATAAGACACATCATATGAATGTGCTTTAGGGAGTTTGGCTACAGCCTGTTGGGCTTTGATGTTTTGCTACAGGTAGAAAGGACAACGCAGCTGGTTTTGTAAGCAGCCTGTTGTGATGGTTAAAGGAAGGCTTTGATGGCAAAGCTACTGGAAAATAGCGGAAAAGTGCAGAAAAATGTCCTGTGGGGCTGAGCTGTTCTTGCTGCCTCTTTGTTTCCCCTTCAGCTGGTAAGTGCTGATGGGATGTTTTGCAGCAAGGTAAATTAATATTCAGCTTTGTCATATTCCCTTTAACCGGTACAAGCATACCCTGCAGCACCACTTATTTCCTATGAAATGAGACAGCAAAATCTGCACATGTTTTGCTGGGTGTTGGGCACCGTTTCTCTTGGTGGCAACTTGGCAACCAGGCTAGTGCTGAGAGGAGCTCTTCAGATCAGGCCATTCTCTCTGAAAAGCAGCATTTCCTTCCCAAGTAATTATTATAACTTGTGTTTCCATTAGTTGTTTGATTGTGCACGGTGCTCTACTGGGCAGAAGATAATGTCTGCCCTTAAGAAACTGAAAGAGAATAGGAAAACAGCTGGAGCCTGGAAGGATATTTTGAGGGTGTGCTAGCTCCCAGCATGCCAGAGACTTAACTGATGGTAGAAGGGGGGAAAAAACCCACCATGGTCTAGGTGGGGTGGCCGGATCAGATCCAAACCCTGCGTTGGCTCTGGAGTTTGATTTGTGGTGAGTCACCTCCTTCTTGGCTGCAATTTCCTCCCAGCAAGACGCTCCATGGGACTGGGAAGACAAATTGGCTGATGTGTGCACTAAGTGCTTTTCCAAGTGTTTAAGTAATGGAGTGTTAGCAATATTTTTATTGTTGTTTGAATCTGGTTAATTTCTCCAAGACTAAATTACAGCATACAGAAACTGCAAATGGGGGGAAGGGGAGGATTAATATGTCCTGTCTGAGGCCCCTGAGGAGACAATATGAGATTTTTATACCTAAAGCAGAATATTTTTGATTCTTTAGGTCAAACCCTAGCAATTCAGTATTTTAGGCCAGTGGATAAGGGTGATTCTGATACAGATTTAAGAGCCTGTCCTTCAGTTGCAGTCTTGTAATTACAGGTTAACTGAGGTTAGAGGGGAAACCTCAGGAGCTCTAAGGTCCAACCTCTTGCTTAAAGCAGGGTCAGTCATGGGATCAAGCCAGGTTGCTCAGGGCTGGTTCCAGCCAGGTGTTGAAAGCCTTTAAAGGCAGAGGTGTCCCTACATCCAGGAAACTCAGCGATCTCTGGTCACCTAAGGAGTCTTCTGGTCTCTTTTGCTACAGAACGAAGAGGAGGAAATCAAGCTGGAGATAAATATGCTTAAAAAGTACTCCCATCACAGGAATATTGCTACATACTATGGTGCATTTGTAAAGAAAAGTCCTGCAGGCCAAGATGATCAGCTCTGGGTAAGTGTTTAGTGTAATTTCTGTTCATCAGATTTACAGCTCCTTTCTTCAGATCTCCAGGATGCTTGGCTTGGACTCTGTCTCAGTGGAACTCTGAAGTCGTCGTTCTGAAGAACAACATATAAAAGAGACAAATTGTTCCTCCCTACACATCTTCCATCCCTTATGATTTCCTTTGAGGATGGGCATAAAGTGATACTTGTGACTTGTGTTGTCATTCTGATTTGTTGTTTGAGTGTTGTTGTTGTTTTCTGCCAAATTAATTGTGTCTGTAATTTTATTATTTTTTAAAGAAAGTGAAAGAGAGTTTGTCCTTTTCCCTTCCTCTCCTTTTTTTCAGTTGGAAAATAAAAAAGAGAACAGAGAAATTGGCAATAAAGCCAAGAGGAAAAATGAATCTTCCACGTTTTCTGGCTGCAAGATTTTTTGAAGCTCTGCAGCAAAATGAGAAATTTCAAATGCTGAAATGCCATGTTTTTCAGTGCTATTAGCTCTGCTATTCTGATTTGCCCATAATCTGCAAAAGGAGAGGAGCACTGCTGAGTTTTTTTTATTTATTCAGCAATGTGTGTGATTCAGGAAATCAGATTTTATGTCACTTGGCATCCGGGAAGGTCGAGTGTAGTTTGCCACACCTTGACTGTGGTGGAGTGAGTGTTTGCAGATGGTATCTCTGCTGTGGTGAAGGTCTCTGCATTTCTCTTCCTGCAGTTGGTGATGGAGTACTGTGGGGCGGGCTCTGTCACTGACCTGGTGAAGAAGACTAAAGGGAACTGTTTCAAGGAAGACTGGATTGCATACATCTGCAGAGAGGTTCTCAGGGTGAGTGGTGCCAACAAGGCTTTGTTACTCAGGTGCAACAAGAAGGCCTTTCCAAGCCTTAGGTGTCTAACACAGGTCACTAATGAGCATTGTAGTTTAAAGGTTTTGGTCCTTGAGTCCACCATGGTGGCTGCTTGACATCCCGTATTATTGTAGATAATCCCATTTTCTGTATGGAGAGCAGAAGACTCCTGTTTCCTATGGCAAATAGTCATCTGGAAGTCCAGATTCTGGACATCTAGAAAAATAAATAAATTGTCTTTTTTTCAATAAGTCTGTCCTCTGCATCAGGAGATCTCACTGTTCATTGCTTCAGCTGTTCATGCAGTGTAAGATCTTTCTGTTCATGTTGCCTTCACCTGCACACAACTCAGGGAGCTCTTTTCCACACTGTTAGAAGAAATGTTGCCTAAACTGCATTCCACAGTCTTAAAGGTGGCCCTGCTGGGGCAATATTCTCCAAGACAATTATTTGGACTATATTTCATTCTTGGTTTTTTTTTTGGTTGGTTGCTTGGTTTTTTGTGTTGTTCCTAGAAAGTAGGGAAGATAAAAGAATTCCCAAGTGTAATCTAGTGACGTAGCCTGGATAAAAGAGTAATACTGGAACCCATCATTCTAGATTAAAAACCCATTACAGAGTTACAGGTCTTCCTTGTATCGGAGTTTTGCTTATTTTCTAAATAATGATAAGATAAATGTGTGTTCTGGGAGCTGGAATTCAAATGGCATGACAAGGTAAGGCTTGAACAGGGGTAAATCTTTGCTTCTGGTGCAGAGGAGTTGAGAAGCATGCTCAGTAGAGAACACTAGCCATCTTACAAGCATTTGGCATTAGACTGCAGATTGTAACTAGTTGGAGAGTGTTGGGAGAGCTCTTCTGCAAAAAACATATGAAATATATATCATCTTAATGTTCTGCTGAGGTTGCTCTTCATCTGTGTGGCGTAGTATTTCAGTTAAAGCAACTGATGTTAAAACATCTCATGCAGTCATGCAACTGAAGACCATAACAGCATGCTGGTGCAAAACAAGAAGCTCGTTTTGCACCAGGCCTGTTTCAAAACAGAATGACCAAGTTGCATGGGGATTCGCAGTGTTTCCTTCTGGAAAATTTAGAAGCTGGGTGAAAGCTCTATAAGCTCTATTTGAATTCATTAATACTACAGAGGTTAAGCATTTTGAGTGAATCATTCTCTGGCTTACTATAAAGCATTATTTCATTGTGTTCCTTTATATCTATGCTAGTTTAACCATGGGCAATTTTGGAGTGAAGGAGACAGATTATTGCAAATACTAGTTGAATGAAAACAATATTTGCTGCATTCAGAAAAGGTCTGAAGTGGTATTTTGAACTTTCTGTGGTCCATTTGCCATTGAACGTGGTTTTGTTGAATGCAGAATTTAAGCCACTGTGGCCAGCCAGCTGCTGCCTCTGGTCCTCATACAGAGCATTCTGCATTCTTCTTTCTCTCTTTTGTTTGCTTTTAACACATACTAAAAGCGATCACTTGATTTTGAGACTGAAGTTTAAAATATTGCTACCTTGTTCTCTTCATGCTTGACTTCAGGTGTGTTCATCTACTCTCAGGCCTTTGGGTAAAGAAGACAATCAAACTTGCAGTTGCTGTCCTTTTTCCTCCCCAAAACTAGGTTCATGTTGCCAATAACATCTAAAGGACTTTCTGTATTAATAAAGTCTGAGAAGTGTAAAAGTGTAAAAGGCAACAATGCCACAGTCATGATAATGACTGGAAGAAAGAATAAGGGAAGTCTGGTTTTCTTTCAGGGCTTGGCACATCTTCATGCTCATCATGTCATCCATCGAGATATCAAAGGACAGAATGTTCTTCTCACAGAAAATGCAGAAGTAAAACTGGGTGAGTTTTTCAAATCTGTCCTAGAAACCTGTTTGCAAAAATTTAGGATTTCAACTTGTCTTGGAAAGAACTTTCAGTAACGTAAGATCAACAAATATGTCAAGTGGCATTAATGCTTGTGTTGATAAGGTGTCTGTCATGTAGAAAGAGCTGAAAATGTGACATGTTCTGCAAGGATGTTGCTCACAGCCTGTGGGGAATACAGCTACTTCTGGGCAGCCAAATGCAGAACCTGTCTAGAAAGTCACAGCACCATCAGGCCTTCACGGCAGATCATGGCATGTGAGACTTGTAAAATAAGAGAGTTGAGGGAATAAATTATGATAATCTATTTCTCTAAGAGAAGTGATCTTAGAGATTTTCATAAATCTGACAACTGGTGAAATTACTTGTGTAAGGGCTGTAGTGAATAACTCTTAACTAATAGTCATATTTCAGAAATATCAGAGAATGCACTTATTTCCTTTTCTGGCTGTGACATTTCAGTGTTGACAACTTCTGACTTCCTAAGACTAAATTCAGGTACATATCTGAGGAGAGGATGTCTCCCATGTTTTGAGAAGACATCACGGAGAATACATGGCAATGAGTTAAAGGAGCAGTCTCAAGAACAACACCTCTCATATTTGGGATGATCTTTACAACAATTTAAAACAAAACAAAACAAAATAATAGTTTCCAGAGAGATTTAACTCGTGTGTCTTTAAGTAAAGAAGTTAGAAACTCAATAGGCCTTCATTCCAGTTCCATTCTACTTCATTGTAAGTGTGCATGCTTCGTTTTCCATCAGGAGCACAGACCTAAAGGTCAGGTCCAATTTATTGTTGGAGAAAGTTTGCTAAGTAGGCACATTAAATTATAGAAGTACAAACGACTGTGGTTTGCAGATGATCTGCAGTGATGTAATATAAGTGAGAAAACCTGCTTCTTAATAGTAACCATAGGGCTGTTTCCTTTCAGTCCTTTCTTTTCCCTGTTATTTTATGTGAATAGCACTCAGGTGCTATGCCCAGTGGATCCAATTAGTGCATCTCAGAGGTGTGCTCAAAGAAAAATATGATCACATCATTATTATATGTATGGGCCTTTCTTTGTATCTGAAGAAAACCATTGTGCAATACAGTCGTGATGAGAGTAACACCCCTTTCAGCACAAAGAGCTCCACATGATTCTCTCATTATAGTGAGTCTAAGATCAGAATAAATTGGTATACTCCCTCCCCAGCTTGTTCTAAGATAGTATATGAAAGTTGGGAAGGAATTATTCCAAACACCTCAAAATGAAGTGATAGGATAGTTCCTTCCAGCTTTCACAAATGACCATATTAGACACTTCCAAATTTGCTTTGTGTGTAGATACTATTTTTCCTTTCAGATACTAGTTAAAGTTTTTGGGTCCTACTCAATGTGGACTTTAGATTAAGCGTATGTTATTCTTAATTAATTTCTGTACCTCTCATTGGCTTTTCAGTGGATTTTGGAGTAAGTGCTCAACTGGATAGAACTATTGGGAGAAGGAACACATTCATTGGCACACCCTATTGGATGGCGCCCGAGGTCATCGCTTGTGAGGAGAACCCAGACTCTACGTATGATTACAGAGTAAGTACAGACCCTGCAGAAGGCAGCAAAACGTGCAAATTATCACTGAGATCCTGCTCAAGTGCTGCATTTCAAAAGTTCAAACTTCTCTCCTTTGAAACTGCAATAATATTATAACTGTACTAATAGAAGTATTTGTAACATGTGGGTGGTGGCTCTTTTCAAGAGGGGAGTTCCACTATGAATTTTTTTGTGTGTGAGTTGTTAATACATGAAATACACTTTTGTGAACTCTTATGCCAAAAAAATACTCATATATGGAGACTGCAGGTCAGGGTAGAGAAGAAAGGATGAGGAAAATTTGGAAGGAATACTTGAAGTAGTGTAATATTAATGTGACATTACTGCTCTGCTCTGTGGTAGAGCTGTTTTACTCTATACTCAGCTACAAATCCCATCAATTGTTAATTGACAATCATTATCACTTTATTTATAAGCATATAACTGCAAGATGTTTCTCATCCCAGAACGATTCCTGGTCATCCACAAGGTGACAGGTGCAAAGACACAAGATTTCCTGTCTTTCAGTTTGTGCTCATTGCTTCTTGTGCTGTCACTGGGCACCACTCCGAAGTCCGGCTTGGTTTTCTGTACTCCTATCAGGAGTTTGTACAGGTGTATGAGATCCCCTTGAGCCTTCCCTTCTTCAGGTTGAACAGTTCCATCTCTCCCAGCCCAGAGCCTCCCAGCTCCAATTCCGTAAACATCTTTGTAGCCCTTTCCTGCACTCACTCCAGTGTGTCCCTGACTTCCTTGTACTGGAGAGCCCAAGAACAGCTATCAAGCACTTCTTCTGAGTGTCCTCCTAACTCTTACAATATGCTGATGCTGTTCCAAGGAGAACTTACGAAGCTTAATTTCATGCTCTGGCCTGTTTCCAGCAGTGCTGTCATTTATCTGTCTACAGTTGCCATGCAGGATGTTTTCCAGAGATGGTTTTCTGAGCAACCATCTTCTGAGTGACCCTTCAGTCTCTCTTGGTTCAGGTTGCTGCTTTGCACCTCTCATTCTAACTTCAGCTTCTGAAAGATGTGTTAGAAGAACCTGTTATTGCTTCCATTTTCTACTAATTCAGAGGCTGTGCATCTCCCTTGTTGAGTCCTTCTGTGCTTCACTGGCAGAGTGAAGTCAGATTGTGTGTCAGTCATTACCAAGGAATGTTCTTGGATTCTATTTTATTTTTCGTACCATGTAAATCTTCTACTGAGACCTCAATAAATTAATCCCTCTCACCAGTTGATTTCCTCTTCAGCTTGTGTATTTTTCTGAAGATATAAGCATTAGGAATGTGCACCCCAGTTTTTGAGGTTTCTTTCCCTTTAGTAGTAATCAGTTTATCCATATGCATTTATGGCCACTTCCAAATAGATTATACAGATGGTAGTTGAAAACTGATCAGCGGAGGGTTTTGGAAACACTTATGCACACAGTACTTTGGCTCAGAAGGTGGCACAGGGCGGGCCTTTCTACAGAGATTTATAGCTGATATGATGAGCAAAAGAGCAGGAAGCCACTCTGTAGCTTCTTGCTGTTGCAGCTCTGATTAAAAAAAAAGAAAAGTATAACAGATTAGTAAATCATGGTCGCATATGTACATATGTAGGTATATATACACACTGACTTTTACAATACTGCTGTCATCCTCCCTTTCACCTCTCTGCTTCTTGTGGTTTGAAACTCCAAACCAAAATTCTTTGTTGCTTGGTAGCTTTTTCATTGTCCTTGAAGACCTTTCTAATTTCAGTCATTTACCTAATAAGTCTGGATCCTGAATCTGTTAAATTCCCACCAGTGTTGTTGTCAAATCTCTCCACAAATCCCTCTATGATGTGAACTGGTTTTCAGCTTGTGTAAAGCAGTTGAGATTAGCGGGACTAAGAAGGCTCTGTTGATAAGAGTCAGATCTAGTTAGAGTGCCAGGCTGGGTGTGAGCTGCTCTTCAGGTCATGGTATATTGCTTCTAGTCTTTGAAGATTTGTCTTCTGTTGCTCTAAAGGTAGCTTTAAAGAAGCCCTGCAAGTTTGTTTGGTCACCTGCCTCTCATTTGGCTACATTAAGAAATAAAAACTAGTAAAATAATGCACATGATTAATCAGGTGGAAAGCTGTGAAGTTTTTACAGTCACTGGTGTCATTTCTGATTTATCTTTCATGATCAAAACCCATCCCTTAGCATACAGATAAGCTGGTAAAGGAACTTCCACTCTAGCTGAGCTGAATATATACTGTGGTGTAAATCTGATTGTATGATGTGCCCAGAAACACCTGGCTGCAGGCTTTGTTGACAGAAAAATTCAGACCCTAAGACCTGACTCTGATTTCTCTTCTGTCAGTGTAAAAACTCAGCAATGACTGCTCTGAAATAAGCATTAAGAACTAGAAATTTTTTTGGCTAGGAGCAGGGGGGTGAGGCACTGCTCTGTCTCACTGCCTCATGAAAACAGTTTAAGATTTAAGACATGTGTAAAGAGTGCCTGCTATATTCTGGCTCTTGTTTTTTGAATGCAGAAGTTCTACATTTTGGGACTGGCTGCTGAAGTGATGAATCAGCTGTTCAGAGTTGCATGGGAAATGGAAAGCTTCTGGCTATTAGCACATTTCCTAGAAGCTCAGTAGGGAATGGGAGGGAGCAGAATGTACATCACTCCAGCTAAAACAACCTGATCCAGGAGAAATCTAGGGAAACTGTAAAAACAAACACAAAAAAACCCAAAACCACCCCCCCCCCAAAAAACCAACCAAACAAACAAAGGGAATGCTGCAAGTTGCAATATGCAATGTTTCTTTTCCTGCAGAGTGACCTATGGTCTCTGGGAATCACTGCTATTGAAATGGCCGAAGGAGCTCCTCGTAAGTGATCTGGTCTAAAGGTGGGGGTGTCTGTGCTTTGGGAACATGTTCTGTGTTAAAATAACTCATGCTTGGCTAATACACTGATGTAATTCTGGCTGTATCTTTAAAAATAATCTGTGACTTTTTCTCTTACAGGCTCTTTCACTTTCCTCTTCCTTTGAGAACAAAATACTTTAATTCCTTGCATGCATTTCCTAGAGAAACAATTTTTAATTTTTTTCTTAAAGCTCTTGTTAGCATCACTTTGTTGGTCCCTCCCTGTGGGTGATTGACACATAAGCAAAGAAACCTGACAAGTGTGGCATTAGGTTTAGGACACTAAATAAAACAAAAAAAGGCAGTGGGAGAAGTTAGACTTTAAGGTTATGTTTGTACTCCAGGACTGATTTGATTCTCACAGGTTTTGGGATGAATACTGTGTTTGCTCACATATTAGCTTAGGTCCATGACCACACTCTCAGCCTGAGAGCAGAGTGCCATGGCTTTAGAGCCTGCCCTTGCCTTCCAGCTGTCCCCTTGCTCCCTGGTCAACCTGGCACAGCCATGGGCTGCAGTGGAGATGCATGGACCTCGTGCCTTTTTGTTTCCACAAGGACCAGTTGCTTTGCCCCAGCATCCGTGAAGCAGATGTAACGTGGTGATGCGTCCAGTCGCTGCTGAGAGCACAGGAGATGAAATAAATTATACTCTGGCCTGAGCTCCAGAGCACGTAGGCTGTGTTTTTGAAAAACACACTTGGCTGTTCTCCTGCCAGACTCGATTTTTAGCAGCACTCAAGAGCCAGCTGGAGTTCAGGAGCACTTTCAGACACTGTGCTTCAGCTTAGCTGAAGCTTAGACGTGAGTCTGTGGGGAGTTCTCTTTGAGAGAGACTTTGTAGTTTTGCATGCTAATTCCTCATGCCACTTGCATTTGGTGTATTCACTAGTTTTGGCAGGGAGATGCTATGGATTCTGTTCTGTTGCACTGCGTTTTGTTTACTGTAGTAAACAGTAGTCTGGGACCTGTAGCTAGATACCAGACTTATTCTGCCCCCCATATCCACTGCATCACATGCTAGTGAAAATGCAAAGGAAAAAGTCAAAAGCAGAACCCAGATGTAAGAAACAACAGCAGGTGGATGCAGGCAGGGAAGGTAATAGAAGGCAGTGAAGTCATCTCACGTTTACTAGTTTTGTAATGCTTGAAGTCCATCATGCCTCTTAAGAAAATCACTGCTGAACACCTTTAGATCATAATTCAGGCTCCATAAAGTTCCTATCAGTTGTCTTTCAGTAGCTCTGGTTTGTGCAGGAAGACCTCTGACCCTCAGTATTTCTCCGTGACGGATGAAGCACACTCATAATTCCGTACAAAATGCCTAGGATAGATGAGATGCTATTTACTTTCTGCAGAGTGCTTTGGTCAACTTTCCACAGCAGTAACACTAAAGAAAAGTACGTTGGGCTGGAGAGAAACCAGCGTCTGAATGCAGGAGTAGAATCTGCTGCAGATGGTCTAATAATGGTGCTCACACTTCTGAAACACCAAGCAGATGAAATGTGTGCTCAGGCGTTACACTCTGTGCCGGGGACGCAGGTTATGAGCTCTTCGCTTTGCATCAGGTTTTCCTCATCCTGCAGTTTCTCTTCTGCCATGAACAATGTAGCCAAGAGTTTTGTTAAAATTCAGCTTATCATTTGTCTGAACCATAAGCCAGACATAATAAACCAGTTTAGTATTTCAGTCTCAATTTTCACTTCCATTTATATGGAAACACCCTTTGATGTATTAGAAAGGTGAGGTGTTTTTATGGCCTTCTGAAGTGTTATATAAGAAAGCTATGAAGAAAATTGTACTTGTTCCTGCCACACAGCCTTTCTTTCAAATCTCTTTTTCCTGAAAATAACAGCATATTGTCATGAAAGATTTCTCTGTCCTCAGAGACTTTATTTCTTTGGCTATAGAGTGAATGTAATAGGCTAAGGGCGCTGTACTGCAGCGGCTGCTGTGCCGTTGGAAGTGCGAGTGCTTGTGGAAGATGGCTTTTCTGTGTGAGGAGAGCCAGGCTCCTGGGCTGCCTGGGTCAGCCTGGTCAGGCTGTGGGAGGGACAAGGAGGAGGACATGCATCCTGCAATAGCTTGTGGTTTCCTTTGCAGCCCTATGTGACATGCACCCCATGAGAGCGCTCTTCCTCATCCCACGGAACCCGCCCCCAAAGCTGAAATCCAGAAAATGGTAAAGAAGTGTGTAAAAATTGTTTTTTTGCTGCATTTGGCTTAAGAGGATTTTGAGTTCTCTTGTCTGGTTAAATCCTACAATGATCTCTGAGGCCTCTCCTAGGCTATTTCTAGCACTAGGTTAAGCCACAACTGCAGGTGTAGTATACCTTTAGGAAGCAACATCTTTCTTTTGAACTCTGCCCAAACTGCAGCAATTATTGCAGGTGTTAAAGTTTGGCAGGGGCAACTGAAATTGTGGTACAGGGAAGGCTTAGGTGGGCTGCTTGGGTCAGGGTTTGTCAGAAGAATGTGTGGGCATTGTGGCGCTAATGACAGTCACTGTGAATTAGTTTAAATGAAGTGTATAAAGAAAATATTCACCGTATCGAAAGGGCAAGGGCATTTTTTTAAAGAGTTGCATTGCCCAGACTGTTTTGTTGATGTGGATATAAGTTCAGGGTAACTCCAGTGAGAAGGTGGTCAGGGTGGAGTTTACCGTCAGCACTGTGCTAGTCTGAGGAGGCACACTGGTGGCAAGACTCAAAGTTGTCTCACACAGTTCTAGGGCAAAAAGAAACCTTGCAAAGTTAATTATTTCCTTCACTCAGAGGTGATGTTTAGCACACAAATTGAAAAGGTTACTCTTTTCCTCCACTTTTCTATCTTTTTCAGGTCAAAGAAATTCCTGAACTTCGTTGAAAGCTGCCTTGTAAAAAATTATCTGCATCGTCCATCCACGGAAGCCCTGCTGAAACATTCCTTCATCCGAGACATGCAGAATGAACGGCAGGTGCGCATCATGCTGAAGGACCACCTGGACAGGACCAGGAAGAAAAAAGGAGAAAAGGGTAACGTGCCCAAAAAACGAAATAAAAGGCAGTATAGAGTGTAGGTTCTTTACCAATTTTGGCAGCAGAGTACAAGGCAGATGCAGCTGAGATGCTAGAACTGTGAAAATGTGAGGAAGTGTTGTTATTGATGGCAGTGGGGCCATTGTGAAGATCTCTTAGCCAAAGCCCAGGTCTTTAATGGTGTTTAAGTGCTGATGTTTTTGGAGTGACCCTGATTTACTCAGAGTAACCCTAACGGTAATGTGAGTGGGGAGTCCAGTTAAGTCTAGGTCCCTAATTTCTTGAGTGTCTAAGCAGTACTCAACAAGCCTTGCCTAGTCTCTTAGTTCATCCATCTGTCCCCAATCCATTCCATTCACCTGTTGCATCTCCATGCCATTTTAGCTTGTGAGCTCTCTGAGAGCCGAAGTGCTCTTCAAGTGTTTTACAGTGGAGTGCACAAAAGAGACCTCGAGAAAGCCTCCATGCCCCAGGAAAACACAAATGGGTGTAATCAATTATCTGCTTCCCAGGGTGGCTGAAAATAAAGAGGGAATCTTGAGTTTGTTCCAAATGCTTCCCTTAGTCTTCAGAGCAAAACCTTGAAACAGCAGTGCTGGAGTGGGGATGATACTTGTGTAAATGCCTGTGCAAACTGGAGAGAGCACCATAGCCTGTTATCCACCCACTTCCCCTGCCCTCTCTCCCCTCTTCTCTATATTTTATACTGGCAGGGGCACTGTGAAGATCAACCACTATGAGGGCAAACTTGGAAAGCACTACACAGTTGTAAAATGTTTTATGAGCTCCAAGTTATTGATCTGACAACAGGAATATTTGTGCCTAGAATGAAATTGCTGTTCCAATGTATTGAGTTAATTTACTGACTCCAATAGTAGTTGCAAATTCTGCCACTTCTTTCAGCTACAAATCTCAAAGCACTTTCGAAAGGAAAGATAGTGAGGTGAAGTTTCTCAGAAATGCCCTTGGGGATGGGGGTACCTGCAAAGATAACAATCACTTCTTCATAGATAGTTATATTTTGACCTGAAAAGTGTGATGTGTTGTTTTTTTTTTTAAATCAAAGCTCCCCTGAAAGGAAGGATAGCATTGACTTACCAGACTACACTTCAAAATAGTGACTTCAAAAAAAACTAAGTTCTCCTTTAATGTGTCATGTAGCCAGCAATGCAGAGTAGAGCCAGTGTGAAGTTATTCCCTAAAAGTTGCCTTCATATTAGTTTTGAAAAGAGCTTTAGAAGTGTTGGTCAGCTTCTTCTGAACCACTGTGCCAAAACTAGCATTAATTTATTATCCCTGTTTCTTTTTTTAATTATTGAATTTAATACAGAAAGAAACCCAAACTTACTGAAGGCCTCAGCTTAGCCATGCGAAAGGCATACAGTGGCAGAGAAGGGCAGTACAAGTCTTTTATGAAAAACTTTTAGAAGTTTTTTAAGTTTCTTTCTGGAGAACTCCTCTGCTGATGTTGTTATGAGGGTTGGATTTCTCTGTGGGTTTAGCCTAATTTATTTCAGATTATAAAAATAGGTTAGTTTTGCAAAACCAATACAGTCAGTTGAGGGAAAAGGTGGGAGTGTGTAAAGGGGCTGCCCTGAAACATTACCTGAACTAGATTTTGAATTATATGCACAGATTTCTTACCAACCCCTAGCCCTCAGGACAGCCTGTGGCTTTTAAATTCCT